CGGTGAACAGCGTCCACCGATGGACGGTGGACTGGTGGGCGGCGTCCACCGGTGGACGGTGGACTGGTGGACGATGGACGGTGGACAGCGTCCACGCGGTGGGCGGTGGACGGTGGACAATGGACGGTGTCCACGCGGTGGGCGGTGGATGGTGGACGGTGGACGTCGTCCACGCGGTGGGTGGTGGAAGGTGGACGGTGTCCACCGGATGACGGTGGACGGAGGACGGCGTCGGCCAATGGTCGGTGGACGGTGGACGGTGTTGTCGTCCACTGGTGAGCGGACCTGTGGACGGTGGACGGCGTCCACCGGTGGTGGGTGGACCCGTGGACGGTGGACGGGTGGACGGCGTCCACCAATGGACGGTGAACTGGTGGGCGGCGTCCAACGGTGGACGGTGGACCGGTGGACGGCGTCCACCGGTGAGCTGTGGACCGGTGGAAGGTGGAGCGTGGATAGCGTTCACGCGGAGGGCGGTGGACGGTGGATGTCGTCCACGCGGTGGGCGGTGGACGGTGGATGTCGTCCACGCAGTAGGCGGTGGACGGTGGACGGTGTCCATCGGAGGACTGTGGACGGTGGACGGTGGATGGTGGACGCGTCCACCGGTGGACGGTGGACGGGGGACGGCGTCCACCGGTGGGAGGTGGACCGGTGTATGGTGGACGGTGGACGGTGAACGGAGGAATGTGGACGGTGGACGGTGGACGGTGGAGCACCCACGTCAAAGAGCACACATGCCCAAGAGCACCCACGCGCAAGAGCACCCACGCTCAAGAGCACCCACGCTCAAGAGCTCCCACGCTCAAGAGCTCCCACGCTCAAGAGCACCCAAGCTCAAGAGCACCCACGCCTAAGAGCACCCACGCTCAAGAGAACCCACACTCAAGAACACCCACACTCAAGAGCACCCACACACAAGAGCACCTACGCCCAACAGCACCCACGCCCAACAGCACCCACGCCCAACAGCACCCACGCTCAAGAGCACCCACCCTCAAGAGCACCCACGCTCAAGAGCACCCACGCTCAAGAGCTCCCACGCTCAAGAGCACCCACGCCCAAGAGCACCCACGCCCAAGAGCAACCACGCTCAAGAGCACTCACGAAGAGCACCCATGCCCAAGAGCACCCACGGTCAAGAGCACCCACGCTCAAGAGCACCCATGCTCAAGAGCACCCATGCTCAAGAGCAACCACGCTCAAGAGCACCCACGCTCAAGAGCACCCACGCTCAAGAGCACCCGCGCTCAAGAGCACCACGCGTATGAGCACCCACGCCTAAGAGCACCGACGCTCAAGAGCACCCACGCTCAAGAGCACCCACGCTCAAGAGAACCCACGCTCAAGAGCACCCACGCTCAAGAGGACCCACGCCCAAGTCGTAAGATGGAAGGCGGAAGGCGGAAGGCGGACGAGGGACTACTGAAGATGGGATGATATGCATGGGGGGGGGGGAGATGGTCAGGCGGGGGTGCATGGGGCATGGGGGGGATGCATTGGGGGGCATAAGAGCACACAAATAGCGGCATACCCCGTAAGAGCCTACCCGATAAGAGCATTGCCCCCTGCCAGCAGCATCTCTGCTGCTGCTATCTGCACCGCCTGCTGCCGCCGCTCCTCCCCTTCCTCTCCCCACTCCCCCTTCCCAAGCATCACCTCGCTCTCCCCTGCGTCACCCCCCACACCCCCTCCCCCAACTGCCACTCCCCCCATGGCCCCTCCCCCCGTCCCCACCCCCCCCAGCTGCAGCTGCTCGCAGCGGTCCATGCACGCGCGCAGCTGCCGCCCCATCTGCCTGAGGCGGTGGGCCAGCAGGTCAGTCAGCACGCCCAGGGCGCTGTCAGTGGCGCCCTCGCACCCCACCTGCTGCAGCGCCCTCGCCACCACCACCTTGAACCGCGCACTGGCCTGCGCTTCGCCCTGCTGCTGCTCCCATTCCGGTTCCTTCTGCCCCTGCTCGTCCCTGTGCCCCCGCATGCCCTCGTTTGATCGCATGCCCGCACCCACGTCGCCTCCCCCCCATGGCGAGCCCGCGCCCTGCCCCGCTGCCCTCCTGCTCCTCCCCCCCTCCCTGCGCCAGGGGCGGCCTTGCTGCCAGTGGGGGGGAGCAGAAGCGACCACAGGGTCGGGCATGGCGTTGGCCAGACACTCCAAGTCCAAGTCCTCTGTGAACGCGCCCTCTCGCTCCCACGCCCCCTCCTCCCCTCCCTCCTCTCCCTCCACTCTACCCTCTCTCTGCTGTTTCCTCCTATGCTGCTGCTGCTGCTGCTGTTGCACCAGACGAGCCATGCCGGCCGCAGTCCGCACCAGTGCTACCCGCTCTCGGAACGGCTTGGCAGAGAGCTTGGCGCGCCTCACAGCATGCAGCAGCCGCCACTGCCGTCGCTGCCGCCCCCTCTCCTCCCGCCCCCCTGCTCGCCCCCCCTCGTCGCCTCCCCCCCACTCTCCTTCCCCCCCTCCCCCTTGTTGGTGTGGGTTGAGTGACCCGTGGGGTAGGAGTGAGGGGAAGGCGGGAGAAGAATCGGAGGAGGGGGAGGGGTCTTGGGAGGTGGAGTGCGGTGCTGGGGAGGAGGGTCGAGCGCCCAAACCCACTCTGGTGCACCATGGGGGAGGGATGGGAGACGAATGGGGGGAGAAGGTTGGGGAGAGGAGAGGAGAGCGGGTGTGTGAGAGATGAAGTGGTGTTGAGTCTCAACAGCATGGCAAGCACATGAGACGGTGACAAACGGACCACTGGTCAAAACGGCAAGGGTAGAGGCGGACGGTTTAAGAACGGAAGTTGTGACTTTGTAGAGTCAGCCTTGAGACGCGGCACAGCACAGCACAGCACAGCACAGCACACACAGCAGAGGCGGTCGGGGGGACTCGGACCTGCGGATGATGGCGCCATTGAGGGGACCCACCTGGAGGAGGGCGTGCAGGAAGGGGGGGGGAAGGGGGTTTGGGGAAAGCTGAGGTATGGGGAGAAGGGGTGAGAGGTGGGGGAAGGAGGGTGAGAGGAGTGTGAGAAGCGGGAGAGAGTTGAGAAGCAAAGGGCCGGTGGAGTGCGAGGGGGAACCGTGGGCATGCATGCACCATGGCTTCTCGCCTCACCTCGTGCCTCGTGTGTGCATTGTGGCCGCTCGTCTCTCATCGCCCTCACCTCGTCTCTCATCGCCCTCACCTCGTCTCTCATCGCCCTCACCTCGTCTCTCATCGCCCTCACCTCGTCTCTCATCGCCCTCACCTCGTCTCTCATCGCCCTCACCTCGTCTCTCATCGCCCTCACCTCGTCTCTCATCGCCCTCACCTCGTCTCTCATCGCCCTCACCTCGTCTCTCATCGCCCTCACCTCGTCTCTCATCGCCCTCACCTCGTCTCGGATGGCCCTCAGCACCGCAATGCAATGGGGGGATGGCTGGGCGGCAGACAGCATGGCATGCCACTCGTCCACGTCATCGTCCAGGCATGGGTACACGTCATCGTCCAGGCACGGGTATACGTCATCGTCTGTGAGTGCATTCTGCTCCGCGCCCATCCCCCCCACACTCCGCGCCAATTCGCCCTCCGCCATTTCCCCCCCTGTCTCCCCCCATGCCTCCCCCACAGCGCGCCCCAGCAGCAACGAGCGCGCCCGCAGCTGCACGCGGAGCATGGCGGGGGAGAGGTGCGCGCCTGCGGGGGACAAAGGCGCGGCGGACACCCGAAAGCGGGACAATGGCGAGGGGATCGAGGGTGGGCGGAAGGGAAACGGGACAGCACTGGTTGCAGCGAGGATGCAAGAAATGGCGATCATTCGTGCGCGCGGAATGCGGGGAACGGCGACAGAATCTAATCTAGAGGAGGCAGCGCGTCCCGCACACCTCATCCCCGCGCACTGCACTCACCAGCGCCAGCGGCGAACTCCCCCCATGTGGCGGGGTCGCGCAGCCACGGCGCAAGGAGCGCGTGGTCCGCCTCCCCCAGCCACTCGCGCCACGTCCCCTGCGCCTCCAGCCGCATCGCCCTGCCGTAGTCGAACGCCCCGCGACATGCGGCGGCCATTCTAAAAGCGCTGCAACCAGCTACTTTATTGCGAATGCGGAAAATAACGGCAGTCGACGGTCTATTTAACAGAAAAAACTCGTTCGATGCTGATGCCAACAAATGGGAGACCTCCCACACCTAGCTTCTGACGACTAGTAATCAATGGAGGTGGCGCTTCCTCCAGACAGTGTCATGCCCCTGGAAACTCAGCAGGGCATGAAAAACAAGTTGTTCCGAAAAAATTGGGGTACTGCGAGAATCGAACTCGCGACCTCTCGCACCCAAAGCGAGAATCATACCACTAGACCAAGCACCCACGTGATAGGTTTAAAGCATAAACAATTTTGACTATTGTCTTGTCTCGGTTCTTTACACGATTGGGTAGGGTGCTTCGTGTAAATGAACTTCATTTAGAAAACGTTGAAGTAACTGAGTAGGCATAGTCAAGAATGAAAGCTAATAGGCTTCAATGACGAAGCACCTCATGACGAAGACAATTTTCTCTCACAAGCCTTTTCGACCAATCGGTTATGAGACTCGCTTGCTAACCATCAGCCGAACCACAGCAGCCACCAAGTGGGGCTTGGTACAGGTCAGCAGTGCTGGCGTGTGCGTGGGGTCATCCGCTGACACCCAAGTCCGACCCACTGATGACGTAAAGCCCCTACATAACTGTGTTCTCGGTATTAGCATGTTGAGCTTCTCGTTTGTAGACTACAAAAATTGGTGATGAGCACGTGGCGGATGACGAATGCCAGAAGCTGGGCCCTCCCGTCCCGCCATGAAGTTTGATGGATGGAAAAGAGACGGTGTGCTCCGATTGGTCAACGCAAACATAACTGAGACGGGCTCCGATTGGTCAGTGGGGAGCGTAACTGAGACAGATGCAATCGGCGTCCGCCCACCCTCGATTCTGGTTCGCTGGTGGGTGAAGCGGAGTGTGCGAACGAGCACAAGGAAGAAGGCTGGGATGTGATGCGAGGAGAGGGAAGATGAGGGGGGATGAATATGAAACTGAAATTCCACGCCATGGCGTGAGTGGAATGAGCGAGATGCGGTAATCGATTCCAACACCATGCCATCACAACATAACACATGACATGGCGTGATCCATGGGTTACTTGAACGAGCTGCGTGTGCAACGTGGCGTTTTCTACCTTCGTCAAGTGTTTGTTACCAAGTCGAAGGACTAGGCTCGTTCCACTAACGTCTAGCTATTGACTGACTGGCTTCCCTTTAATATTAGCCCGTCCGAATCGGCAAATTAATCTGCTCATTCTTTTCATTCCCGTGTTGTAGATACACTCACGGCTCGTGCTCCCGAGAGCCCCCGTAAATATCTGCCTCATAATTTGATTATTCCTACCATGTATACTTAGTCACGGACACGGACAGCGATAGCGAACTCGTGGTGGTAGATAGCTGCGACGAACGCGTGCTGTATGCCACGACCTCATATGCAGTAGTAACAGAAGCATCAGCAGCAATATCATGAGGCCAGGCGACCCATCCACGTCGTCCCCCCAGCAAGTACAGCAAGTGCACGCCCACAAGGGCCGCAGCCTTCCGAGCGTGCGCAGTCTGTCGTCGGGGCTGCTGCCATCGTTCCGCGCCATCTCCAGCTACATCCGCCATGTCTCCTCCTCCGCCGACTCCCTCGTCGCCTCCGCCGTCCGCTCCGCCTCCGCGTCCGTCGCCGCGGCCTTGGCGCCGGGGGACGACAGCCAGAACAAGGAGCAGGTGTGAACAGTCTTGACATCGAGAATACACCACGCCATTCTTGAAGCTAAAAACAGCCTCTATTTTGAAACATACGGCATGGGATCACCTTTTGACATCACGCCTCAACTATTTTATTAACTGCTCAAGCTTCCCCTGAACAAATGGCTCTGTTGCCGACTGGATTTTTATATTTCGCAATCCATTCACGTGGCAGGTCACGTGGGCGGGGTTCGGGTCGTTGGAGGACGCTTCATCATCGTCGTCGTCGTCGTCGAGCGGCGTGCGCGTGTCCGGCACGCGCCGAGTGCTGCTCGTGGCGTACACCACGGGCTTCCACGTGTGGGACGTGCAGCAGCCACATGCCGTGCGCGAACTCGCCTCGCGACGCGACGGCCCCGCCGAGTCGCTCCACCCCCTCCCTTACGTTTCTAGAACCACCCCCGAGAGCCCCCTGCACGACGCGCATCCCGTGCTGTGCGTCGTGTGTCCCCCTGCGGCCGTTCCTCCTCCCTCCGGGGTAGCTTTTGAAAGTCGGAGGTTGTCTGGCCAATTTCCGTACTTGGACGATGATGAACCGTACGCTGACGTGGCGGACGGGGTGGATGAGCCGTACGCGTGCGAAGATGAAACGGGTGGCGAGCAGAGCGTGGTGCGGTTGTACTCGTTGCGGAGCAGCTCGTACGTGCACTCGATTGCGGTGGCGGGCAGGGTGATGGGCGTGCGGAGCAACCGCACGGTGCTGGCCGTGGCCGTCGCAGAGCAGGTGAGAGAGAGATGCCAAGAATCACAGCAGCCATGCAATCGCTTTCCATCTTTGATCACCGCTCTTCTGTAATCGCCACTCATTCCGCCAGCTGCCCTCCTTGACGCGCCATCCGTTCAACGCACACGGATCATATGACTTCCACTACTCACACACTATCCTTGTTGCCTTTTCTTCGAACCTCCCCCCCCCCACCCCCACGCTCGCCTCTTCCCGCCCCATCCCCCAACTTCCCCCTTCCCCTAGATCTACATATACGACCTGGCGACCCTCAGCACGGCCTTCAGCGTGCTCACCCATCCGCACCCCCTCCCCCCCTCGCTGCCCGGCATCGCCCGCACCTCCCCCCACGGCGCGCTCGCGCTGGGGCCGCGCTGGCTCGCCTACCCCTCCAACCAGCCGCTCGCACCCCACATCACCACCGCCCCCCTCCCCTCCTCCGCCTCCTCTTCCTCTGCCGCCGCCGCTGCAGCAGCAGCAGGGGCTGCAGGGGCGGGGGCGGCGCTGGTGGCGCATTACGCCAAGGAGTCGGGGAAGCAGCTGGCGGGGGGGATAGCTGCCCTGGGGGACCTGGGGGTGCGGACGGTCAGCAAGTACTGGACGGACATGGTGACGGATTCCGCCACTGGCTCAGGTGTTTCGACGGCCTCAGGTGGTTCTTCAGGTGCTTCAGGTGTTCTGGCAGGGTCGGGGTCTCCCTGGAGCAGCAGGAGTCCGGAGCACATGTTTGCTCCAGACTCACCACACGCATCGGTGTCAGGGGTTTCAATGTCCGGGGCATCGGTGTCGGGGTCGTCGACAGACGGGTATGCGGACGCGAGTCCAAGAGCAGGAGCGCATGCTGCCGGGCTGCCGTCCGTCCCACCTGTTGACCCCACCCATGCTGGCAACGTGAGTTTCTGCCTGCTGCCCGCCCTTACGCTGCTCCCTGCTGCCGCCTTTGCCGCTGCCTCTGGTCGCTGCCATGCTGCGAGCTGCTCATGCATCCACATCTCACTCTCCCCCAACTCCTCACCCATGCGAGCAGGTGGTGGTGCGGGACGTGGCGACGAGGGCCATCATAGCGCACTTCAGGGCGCACGGCAGCGCCATCGCGCTGCTGGCGTTTGACTGCTCCGGCACGCTGCTGCTCTCCGCCTCGCTCTGCGGCCACTCCCTCAACGTCTTCCGCCTAACGCCCGCCCCCACCCCTGCCAACGCACCAGCCGCGCCCGCACTCGTTGACAGCAAGCCACAGGTGCTGGCACCTCCCACCCTCGGTTTCAGTTTCCGTGATGTCTCTTTGTCAAATGCCCTGCACTGGCCACTCTGCTTGTGTTCTTTCGCTGCATGTATGCGACTCTTTTGCTGTTCGCTTCTGCGCCGGCCCTCCTCTGCCTCACCACTCCCCCTTTCCGCCCACCCCATCTCTTGCTTCCGTCCCCTATGTTAATATTTGAAGGACGGCTGCTCGTATGTACATTTGTACAGGCTTCACCGAGGACTCACTAACGCTGTAAGGGAGCACGCCATGCTGAGTTCTACCATACATGCATGCGTGCATGAATAGCCTTTTGGAAGCTTTCCAATTGATGTCAATACCTTGTGCATGTGATGTCGTATCCCCTTCAGTTGCCTCGCGCTCTCCATCCCCCTCCTCCTTTCGTCTCATCCCATCTCATCCCCACTCCACTGCCCACCCACCTACTGGTCAACCTGCCTGTCTGCCTGCCTGCCTGCGTGCGTGGCGTCGCGGCTGCGTCCCCCAGGTGATTCAGAGCGCGGCCATCTCGCACGACAGCCGGTGGGTGGCCGTGTCATCAGCGCGCGGCACCACGCACCTCTTCGCCATCTCGCCCTTTGGAGGACCCGTGGGGCCCGCAACCCACCTGCCCTCCCCTTCCTCTCCCACCCTCCTCCACCCTGTATATACCCACTCCCCGTCCCTCCTCCCCCCTCCCCCCCCCCGCCCCTGGTGGTCCTCGTACGCGCCCCTGCGCTTCTCCTCGTCTCCCTCGCATGCCCCTCCCCCTCTGCGCGTCCCGGCGCCAGTGGCTCTCTCGTCGGTGGCGCGCATCCGCAACGCCAACAGCGGCTGGCGGGGGAATGTGACGGGCGTGGCAGCGGCAGCAGCAGGGCTGGGGATGGAGATCCCAGGCGCCGTCGCCGCTGCTTTCCACTTCGGAGGGGTGCCAGGTGGTGGGGTGTTGGGAGGGCGAGGGGAAGCGGGGCACCAGCAGCAGCAGCAGCAGCAGCAGCATCAGCAGGTACTTGCCGGGCAGTTTTACGGGCAGCCAGAGTGGGCTCCGCCGCCAATAGCAGAGCAGCTGTGGGTGTTCTCTCCCTTGGGCCACCTGATTCGCTACCACCTCACGCCATATGCCGCTGCCTCAGACCCCTCATCCTCCTCCTCCTCCTCCCCATCCCACAGCCACGGCCGCGCCATGCACCCGCCCAATTCATACAGTCAGGCGTACAGCAGCCACACTTACGACCCCAGGGGCTCGTACCTGCCACCTCACGGCGCGACCAGTGCAGGGGCCATGCAGCCTGGCAGGGGCGCCATCCCCCCCTTCTCCCCCATCCCGCCGTTCCCCCCCATGGCGCAGTCTGACTCCTCTGTGCTGGGGGGTCGCTCCTTTGAGCGCCTGCCCTCGCTGCCCACGCTTGCCCTGCGCTCTGCTGCTGCCGCCGCGGGAGTGAGCGTGCGGGGCATGGGGGGGGGCGGGACCAGGGCGGGAGGGGAGGTGGTGCTGCAGGTGGCAGCGGAGGCGAGTGAGGTGTGGGACGTGTGCCGCCGGGTGAGCTGGAGCGACAGGGACGAGCCCATTCAGGGGGCGTGGGACGCGCACAGTACTGCTGCTGCTGCTGCTTCACTTGATGCTGCTGCTGGCAGCAGTGGGCGTTGTTCGGCAGAAGAGGGTCGGCAGAGGGCGGTAGAGGAGGCGGAACAGCGGGCGTATCTGATGCACGCGGAGGTGCAGCTCACCACCAGCAGAGCCACGCCGCTGTGGGCGCGCACCTATGTGAGTGCCCTAACTTGTGTCCACGTGTCACTCCCCTTTCCACTGAACAATTTCGGGTCTGCTTTGACCCGCTGAGTTTTGTAGCGTTTTTTTGCACAAACCGTCTGCATCTCAAAGCACCACCGGGTTACTCAATCTCATGGGGCGGTGAGTCAATACATTGGTGCTGTGCGGATGCGTGCTACTGTGCATGGATGCATGCTTGGGGAATGAGTGCATGGTGTGGTGCCCTGCAGATTCGGCTTCAGCCCGAGGACTCACCATCTAGCAGCAGCCACACCGCCTCCCAGTCACCAACGCAAGGCCGCACCACCCATCCACCGCTGCCAAGCCACACACCCCAAGGCACCCCTGCGGTCACAGGCATGGGTTCATCTCCCCCCCTTCACCCTCGGGACTCCGTATCTGCCTCCCCTTCCTCTTCCAATTTGCCTGTGCGCCCGCGTGCTGCCCGCCCTCCCATAGTCGAGGGCTTTGCAGACAGCAGTGGGGGGCACCAGGCACGCCACAGGCAGCAGCATACTGGCGGCATGGAAGGACTGGGCGCACCGGCAGAGGCATATGCGGGTGGTGACCACAGGGGCGGCGATCACAGTGGTAGCATCAGCGCCAGCAGGCGCACGTCCGCTCTTGGAGGGCTGCTCAGGCACGCTGCTGCTCCCCTGCCTCCTCCGCTCCTACCAGCACCCGTGCCAGCAGCAGCAGTTTCGGGGCTGCAGGGGCTGGAGGGCCTAGAGGGGCTGCAGGGGCTGGAGGGCCTAGAGGGGCTGCAGGGGCCGCAAGGGGTGCACGGGACGCGAGTGGAGTCGCATGGGGGCGTCTTGGGCGCCGTGCCTGCGGCCATGGGCAGCAGCAGCACGCAGGACGCAGGGGGCTCTGGGTGGGGGCATGCAGCGCAGGGGGCGAGGGCGGGGCTGGGTGTGGCTCTAGAGCCGAGCAGGGGGGCGGGCATCAGAGTGAGGGCGGAGGGGGGGCAGGTGGGGGGCAGAGGGGGAGGGCAGGTGGGGGGAGGTGGGGAGTGGGTGCAGGGGGAGCAGGGAGGCGATGGATCCATAGGTGGGATGGGTGGAGCGGTGGGTGAAGCAGGACGCACGTTGGGCGCATTGGCTGGGGAGGGGGGAACGACAGGCGTTGCTGGGGGGAGGGGTGAGCGGAGAGAGAGCGTGGAGGAGGGAGATGGTCCAGCTGCTGCTGGGCTTTTAGCACGTGCTCCGAGGGCAGTGGAGGAAGGTGGGCAGGAGGGGGAGCAGGGGAGAATGGGAGTTGTAATAAGCGGGAGGCGCGAGGGCGAGAGAGGAGACTCGCTGGGAGTGTTTTCATTTGACGACCCATGGCTCACCGACGACCCCCACGGCTTAGGTGAGATGGCGTTCTTCCCATTCCCTCGTGTTGCTTCCTTCGTTCCCTGGAGCACTTGTGCTGTGCGTGAGCTATCCATGTATCAGCCGAGGATGGCACCAACAGACCGTTCTCGCTCATGCAGGATGCTGAAAACGGCACACAAGAAACCGGCCTGCCATGCGTGAGGCATCAGTGTGCTCTCCAACCCAGGCATTCTGCAGTGGTAGCACTCTGCGTTGTTTCAACACCGTATAGGGCTGGTGGTGTAGCTAGAGGTTAAGAGCGTAGTGAGGGTGATGCAAGCCATCAGTTGGCCCAAGCCCGGGCCCGGACCGATGATCTTCCAGGGAGGGGAGGGGAGGGAAGGGCAGGGCGGGAAGTGCCGGACCTAGGCACGGCAGCAGGGGGTCTAACAAGTGCAAGCAGGGGCAGAAATTAGGGGCTCAAGTGCTCGGTAGACAATCTTAGACGATCGTAAGCATGACTGCTGTAGCCTTCTTTGTAGTAAAACCCGCATTGTATACCCCTGAAGAATGCTAAGGCCCCTGCGGCTGTGTGTGAGTGCTGAGTACAGTTTATCAGTCTGCTCCCCTTCTCGTATTCCTGCAGCACTGCCTGCTCAGGTAAGTTGCAACCTCCGTGATGCTTCCTGCAATTCTCTCACTCACCCCCCTCCTCCCGCCTTCCCCATCCCACGTCCATGCCACCCCTCTGTCTTGTGTTCCTGTGCTCGTGTCACCTCGTGCACCCACCCTCCCCACCTCGTGCCACCATCCCCCACCTCGTGCCACCATCCCCCACCACGTGCCACCATCCCCACCACGTGCCACCATCCCCACCACGTGCCACCATCCCAACCACGTGCCACCCTCCCCACCACGTGCCACCCTCCCCACCACGTGCCACCCTCCCCACCACGTGCCACCCTCCCCATGACGTGCCACCCCCTAGCCTCTGCCTCTGTGTCTCTCAGCTGCACCCCCTGCTCCTCCCTGGGAGCCCCCTCACCCCGCCTCACCCACCCTCGCCACCCCCCCGCCTCCCGCTCCCTCCCGTCCTCCTCTCCTCACTCAGCAGCAGCAGCAGCAGCAGAAGCAGCAGTGTCACCACCAGCACCCGCATCACCACCACCAGCACCACCACCGCCATCTTCAGCACCACCAGCAGCGCCAGCAGCAGCAACAGCACCAGCAGCACCACCAGCAGCGCCAGCAGCAGCATCAGCAGCAGCAGCAGCAGCAGCATCATCAGCAGCATGCGGCTCCTCCTCCTCCTCCTCCTCCTCCTCCTCCTCCTCCTCCTCCTCCTCCTCCTCCTCCTCCTCCTCCTCCTCCTCCTCCTCCTCCTCCTCCTCCTCCTCCTCCTCCTCCTCCTCCTCCTCCTCCTCCTCCTCCTCCTCCTCCTCCTCATCCGTGCCTCTCTGGCCCCACTCTGACCCCCACTCTCGACCCTCTCTCCCATCGCCTCTCCCCGCAGTGAACCCCCATTTCGGCCCCCACCACCAGCCACAGCCCTTCAGTGGGCCCGACTTGCAGCCGCTGCCCTCCGCTCTTCCCGCCTCCCACCCTCCATCTGCTACCCCTCCCCCTGCCCCGCTTCCCCCTGTCAACCCTGCGGGACCCCCAGATGAGAGAGGGAGGGGGAGCAAGGTGGGAGCAGATGAGAGCAGGCAGAGAGAGGGCGAGCCAGAGCGCAGGGCGCAGCCATCAGGGGAGGCGCAAATGGTGGAGGTGGATGCGCAGGGGTTGGGGCAGCAGGAGCAGGAGCAGGAGCAGGAGCAGCAGGAGCAGGAGCGGGAGCAGGAGCAGGAGCAGGAGCAGCAAGAGCAGCAGGAGCAGGAGCAAGAGCAGCAAGAGCAGCAGGAGCAGGAGCAGGAGCAGGAGCAGCAAGTGCAGCAGGAGCAGGAGCAGGAGCAGGAGCAGGAGCAGGAGCAGCAAGATCAGCAAGAGCAGCAGGAGCAGCAGGAGCAGCAGGAGCAGCAGGAGCAGCAAGAGCAGCAAGAGCAGCAGGAGCAGCAGGAGCAGCAAGAGCAGCAAGAGCAGCAGGAGCAGCAAGATCAGCAAGAGCAGCAGGAGCAGCAGGAGCAGCAGGAGCAGCAGGAGCAGCAAGAGCAGCAAGAGCAGCAGGAGCAGCAGGAGCAGCAGGAGCAGCAGGAGCAGCAGGAGCAGCAGGAGCAGCAGGAGCAGCAGGAGCAGCAGGAGTACGGTAGGGTGCATGGGGCTGGGAGGGAAGGGCGGGAAGTGGGGGTGGAGGAGGGGGGTTTAGAGGAGGCGGAGGAGGTGGTGCGAGTGGAGCTGGGGGCCGAGGAGGAGTTAAGGGGAACAGAGTGCAGCGCTGGGGTGCAGGGCATTGTGCAGGGAGGGGGATGTGCGGAAGGGGGATGTGCGGAAGGGGGAGTGGTGAATAGTGTTAGGGAGAAGGAGGTGGTTGTTTCTGCAGTGAAGGATGGGCGGGGAGGAGAGAGCGGAGAGAGAGGGGGCAGAGCGGTTTGTGCAGGGGCAGTGAGTCACGACTGCATGGTGAAGGAGGAGGGTGGAGATGCGATGGAGGAGGTGAGAGTGAGTGAGGAGAGGGAAGTGAGTGAGGAGGGAGAGAGAGCAAGTGATGAAGTAGGAACGGATTTGAGGCAGGCAAAGGGAATGGAACAAGGACAGCAGCAGCAGCAGCAGCGGCAGCAACAGCAGCAGGAGGAGGAGGAGAAAAGACTTGAGCAAGTGATTGTAGGGGTGCTAGGCAGCAATGGCAGAGGTGGCAGCAGCGGCAGCGGTGGTGATTGGGAGGGCGGCAGTGGCGATGGTGGTAACGGGGGCGGCATGGTTGGCAACGAGGGCGGTGCTGGCACACATGCAGGGCCCACTGCTGCCATCCCTGCCACAGCCCGTGTGACCCACACCCCGCCTGCAACCCCTGCCGCTCTAGGCTCATCTGCAGCACCTGCACAGGCTCGCCCTGTGCCTGGCGCTGCAGGGTCGACACTGGACAAGGCAGCTGCTTGGGCTGCATCAGACGCCTCTGCTGCTCCTGGCACCGCTCTCAGCTCACATGCCCTCCCCAGCAGTGGTACGACCCTTGATGCAGCCGCTGCAGGAGATAGGAGAGTTATGGATGAAGGAGGAAGGATAGGAGACAGCCAAGGAAAGAAGGCAGCACCTGCTGCAAGTAGCGCCACCAATACTTATGTTGCAAGCAGCAGCAGCGTCAGTGCCAGCAGTGGCATTGGTAGTGGTGGTGTGGCTGCTGTTGCTGCTGGTGCTGGCAGTGGGCAGGCAGCAGTGAGGGCAGCAGTGGAGGTGCCGGCAGCGCGTGGAAGGAAAGGGAGGAAGAAGAAGAAAGGCCTTGTGGTAACAACTGCAGCACCACCATCAGCGGCAGCGGCAGCAGCAGTAGCGGCGCCAGCAGCAGCAGCGGCGCCAGCAGCAACGGCGCTAGCAGCAGTGGCAGGGGCACCAGCAGCAGCGGCAGAGGCACCAGCAGCAGCGGCAGGGGCAGAGGCAATGAAAGCATCCATCAAGTCGGTGCCTAGCTCCGACTCTTTAAACGGCTGGGAGCTCTGACTCCTCCTCTTGCAGAGAGCCAACCATCCAGAGGAGCCCTGCAGATTCTCCTTCCTCCCTGCGGTTCTGGCATTCGAGCCAAGACCGTAGGGGAGCTATGGCATACATAATGGCCGGGCATGGCTGTGTGGCATGGTGCTCCCACGACCGAGCCACCTGCCGGTGCTCTCTGACCCTGAGTGCACCTTGTACACACATTGCGAGCACTGCACTTGGGTCTGTAACGCTACTCCACATTGCTCGGGACAGATAAATTACAGGTTATAGACTCTACCCAGCAGATTGCTTTCATTATGTACACAGTTGAATCCATATACTATATGCAGCGCTATCGGTGTACTAAATCACATGCAGTGCTGCAGCAGTCTATCATGGCCCATTCACATGACATAACATTGGTATATGGACAAGGGGCTGGGGTGGGTGCTGCATAGCCCAGGGTATGGGGCCATTCCTCTCCCTCTGGCACACTGTCAGCCATGCCACGCTAGTACCACCACCGTCATCTGGCTCACACAGCCCCCACGAATCTCCCTCGTTCCCCTTCTGCTCACTCCACTTCCCTCGCCCTGCACAGCCGGCTTGAGACGGCTCAAGCCCCTCACCCCTCCTTCCAAGCTCGGAAGAACACCGCAGCCACGGGCCTCCCCAGCGCGAGGAGTCCATTTCTGAGACGCCTAAAAAATGAGCCGGCTTGAACCGGCTCAAGCCCATTACTCCTCCTTGCGGGCGCGGAAGAACACCGCAGCCACGGGCCTCCCCAGCCCGTGCTGCGACGCCCACTGCCGCGCCTTGAAGCCCTTGCGCGCGGCAGGCGCGTGGGCAGTGATGCGCTGCGGCTGGCGGAAGAGCGCGAGCACGTAGCGGTGCACGCCCATGGGCGGGGAGGGCCCCTTGTACGCCGTCACTGGGTCGCCCGCGCTGCTGTGCGGGAGAGTGGTGGCCCCCGGTATGTTCACTACCAACCTGCATGGCCACGGGAACGCAAACGCCTTGAATGGTGAAGAGACAGTGTATCCATCTGCACAGGACCCTCACAGCTGCACACATACTCGCGGACACGTACTCAAATGCATGCCCAAAGCTCTCCCCCCTTCCCCCCCCCTCTTCCCCTCTCCTCTTCTTTCCCCCCTCCTCCCCATCTCACCAGTGCAGCCATTCAGCCGCTACGGGGTTATCTGGGCTGGGTGCGTCTGGGTCTGACATCACCTGGTGGGGGCAGGGGCAGGGGCAGGAGAGCGGGGAGGGGCACATGGCGAGTGGGGTGAGAGACTGGGCATGAAGGCAGAGGAAGAGAGCGCAGAGAGAGAGCGCAGAGAGAGAGCGCAGAGAGAGAGTGCAGAGAGAGAGCAGCGTACAGGCCCATGGACGGCTCGTGGTGCTACGACTAATGATAGCATCGACTAATGATAGCATCGACTAATCATCTGTGCGTGGCATGACCGCCTCCAGTCCACGTCAGAGGTGCCTCACCAGCGTGTACAGGTCCCCGTTCTCGTGCCGCCCGGCTATCTCCACGAATGGCGCCGCTGCCGCCTCGCTGGGTGTCAACTCGTCACCGTTCTGCACCTCCCTGTCACCGTACTTCACCTGCCACAACCACGCGAGTCAACCGAGTCAACGAAGTCAGAAAGACCACGGGTCAAAGGAGCCAACGAGGTCAAACTGCTATTGCTTATAACACTTTCATATCCATGGGCGGCATGACATCATGCCTTCATGTCGATGGGCGGCATGACGTCATAGCTTCATGTCCATGGGCGGCATGACGTCATACCTTCATGTCCATGGGCGGCATGACGTCATAGCTTCATGTCCATGGGCGGCATGACGTCATACCTTCATGTCCATGGACGGCATGAAGTCGTCGAGCACATCGCCAATCACTCCGCCCTTCACCAGCGCCTCGTGCGCCGCTTCCATGGCTGCTGCCGTGCCGCACGTCTCGGCGAATCCTGAGAAATTAGAAGGTAAGCGCGAAACACGGGGACGGGTAGCTCTCCTGGGAGGACCGAGTGCTAGTTTCGAATGAAGGACGCGAGAAAGAAGACAGAAGTGACGATGCGAGGAAGCAAGGGGGTGAGCAGCCACATGCACTCAGCGCACAACACGGTGCTGTCAAAGAAAAGAAGGGGCCGCCGTGAGTTCTTGGAGCCGGGGAGGCTGACGCGACCCGTCGTGAGTGATGATGCACATGTCGCTTGCTGACGGGTCTCGTGGCGTGCATGGCAGAGATGTGGATGGTACTGGAATATACCCGTTACTAAGCTTCGGACTCAAAGCACGCATTCTGTGAAATAATGAAATACTACATCACTTCGCTACCACATGAACAGGTTGGGTTCAAGCAACACATCGCCATAAATCAAACCTCAACATCTGCTGCAATATCGGTGAGGACTTGCTTAAATAGACGCACCCCCTGCATTTCAAAACAAAAGCAACGTGAGTCAGGAGTGTGTCAAGCTAGAACGACATGAGTCGTGACAACAGACATAAACACCATCAAGTAACATACCTGGAGGGCAAATATCACATCGCTAGCACTCGCTTTGAGCATCACTTTGCACTTGGCCTGGGGGCGTGCAGCATTCTTGCCAGCACCCACGAATTGCAAAAGGGCCTGGAAATACACAACATCGCACAGGAAACATGTGGTCAAGCTAACATGTGAATGTAACACTAGGAGTATGGCCGGTGCATGGAGATGAAGGTGACTGGAGGCAATAACGAGTATCTAGGCCAACAATGTGTGCTGCCTCAGGGAACTCATTTGCAGCTCTTACCCCCGCACACCCCGCACCCCACCTGCCCTTGCAGTATGCCGCACATATCGGTGGCCTCGTTGAGTGTGACAGCTGGCACGTGCAGCGAGCGCGCCAAGGCCGTGTAGGTACTGTACAGCTGGAAGATTGGAGAGGGGGGAGGGGGAGGGGGTGGGGGGGAGGGGGTAAGGGGGAGGGGGTAAGGGGAGGGGGTAAGGGGAGGGGGTAAGGGGGAGTGGGTAAGGGGGAGGGGGTAAGGGGGAGGGGTAAGGGGGAGGGGGTAAGGGGGAGGGGGTAAGGGGGAGGGGGTAAGGGGGAGGGGGTAAGGGGGAGGGGGTAAGGGGGAGGGGGTAAGGGGGAGGGGGTAAGGGGGGAGAATGTGGGGGAGGTGAGTGGTGGAGAGACAAGGATGGTGGGACATCTGATATGGGCAAACGTGAGAGCAGCCATCATCCAAGAGAGGGAGAGCAGCACATGCCTGGGAGAGCAGCACGTGCCTGGGAGAGCAGCACGTGCCTGGGAGAGCAGCACGTGCCTGGGAGAGCAGCATGTGCCTGGGAGAGCAGCACGTGCCTGGGAGAGCAGCACATGCCTGGGAGAGCAGCACGTGCCTGGGAGAGCAGCACGTGCCTGGGAGAGCAGCACGTGCCTGGGAGAGCAGCACGTGCCTGGGAGAGCAGCACGTGCCTGGGAGAGCAGCACGTGCCTGGGAGAGGAGAAAGTCCTTGGTGGTGGATGCAGGCTTCCCCTTGCTCATAAACCTGTGCCGCGCCCTCTGCTGCTGGTGCTGCTGCACACACGCCACCAGCACCATCTGCCTTGGAGTGGGGTGGAGTGGGGGAGGGGTATATGAGCGCCAAGGGACAACGACGGGTATGTGACAAGAGGAGAGGTTGATGGTGCACGAGTCAGGAGGTAGAGAGGAAGGTACAATGAGGTGAGGTGCAGCGCCAAGGGAGGGCGGGTTCCAACCTGCTGGTGCAGGGGCAGTGAGCGGATGGAGTCGACCGTAGAGGAAGCGAAGGAGCGGGAGAGCGCCTGGGCCATGTGGTGCACGTCCAGCTGGGAGTGGGGGTTTTTTGGGGGGGCGAGTGGTTTTGAGGCGCATGAAGAAGAGCGCGATGGAGAAACGAAGCGATCCACGCGATGGCAGGCACGCTCTCAAGAAGAGAGGGGCACACCTTGATGGGCAGGCTCCAACTGGGGCAGGCTGCTTCAGCGCCCAGAGCACATGCTGCACCGCTGCCACCACCACCATTGGTGCAGCCAGTCGCCTGAGCGCCACCAGCACTACCACCGCCAGCGAGCCCCTTGGCCTGGGTGCCAGAAATCAGGGTGGCTCTCTCTTGCGCGTCCTGCCTCGGCTGTTGCACTCCGTCTCTCTGCCTCTTGCTCTCTGCTTGCCCGTCTGCTTCTCCCCCTGCCACCCGCTTGTTGCTCCTGCCGCCTGCTGCCGCCACAGTGGGAAGTGCATCAGGTGGGCCTGCTCCAGATGCGGCCTCCATCACATCCACCTCCCTCTGCTCTGCCCTGAGCTCGTCCTCGAGAACATCGACTGCCATTCTGGCAGCAGAGGGGCGAGGAACGGAACGGGGGAAGAGAGGGGGGGAAGAAAGTATGAGCGAGGCAGTCATGATTACGGGCGGGGCTCGTTTAGCTGTCCGTTCAGGGTGCTGCAGAGAGGTGTGGATGGAGTTGACTTTTGAGTCGACTCAAAAGTCACTTTGTTTAGCGGCCCATTCAGGGTGCTGCAGGGGGCGTGGATAGAGTTGGGACTTAATTTCTCTCGCCCACACGCTCTGCCTATCTACTGCAGCTGAAGGTGGCTGTGCGAAGATTGAGAGTGCATTGAAGGGGCAGTAGCAGCTGCTCCGCTCACCTTGTGATGTCAAGAGCCTTCCGCATGTCCCCCGATGCTGCTGCCACTTTCTGCCATCCACATGTAAGCATGGCATGGCAGGGGAGGGGAGAGGGTAGCAGAGGATCCGGGCAAGGAGGAAGAGAGTGCGATGGGCTTGGGCCACGAGGGGGGGAGTTGGCAAGGAGGGGGGTGGAAGGGGCACGAGCAACAGCATGGCAAAAAGGCGTGGCTCCAGTGGTGCTCACCCGCGCACAGAGGTGCAGCGCCATGGGCTCAAATGAGAACGCCACTGACGCACTCTCCCTGCCGCCTCCCTCCCCTGCTGCTGCCCTGGGCGCTGCTGCTCCCTCCGCCTGCACGCCAGCCGCGGCCTGCACGAGAGAAGAGTGCAGCCCACCATGGTGAATGGGGCAGGGGATGCAGCAAAGCCATAGGCAGAGACAGAGCGGCACACAGAAGAGGCAATAAGTGAAAGGGGCGGGCGGGGGGGGAATGGGATGGTGAAAGAAACGAAACGGGAAAGACGGATGGATGACTCTGGGATGGGTGTGGATGGGTGTGGATGGGTGTGGATGTGTTGTGGATGTGTTGTGGATGTGTTGTGGATGTGTGAGAATGGATGTGTGGATGGGCGTAAAGGAGAGACGGACAACACGCGGGCATGCCGTAATGGTCAACCCGCGGGTATCAACAGTTGCTAATACCTGGAGCCTTTGGGAAAGAATCTCGTAGATTTGATTGCGGTCGTATGCTGGGAATGGCAGCAGCGTTGGGCGTGCTGAGACACCCCTGAGAGACGGAGAAGGAGAGGAGAGGTGGAGAGAGGAGAGTGAACGGGAGGGGAGGCTGAGCAGGGAGTGTTGCCATGCAGCGGGACGTGGAGAGCAAGGGCTGGATGCTCGGCAGAGCAGACAGAAGGCTGGAGAAGGGAGAGGAGAGAAAAGGATGGAAGGAAGGGGGAAAGATGGGGGAAAGATGCGGGGAAAGATGGGGGGAAAGATGGGGGGAAAGATGGGGGGAAAGATGGGGGGAAAGATGGGGGGAAAGATGGGGGGAAAGATGGGGGGAAAGATGGGGGGAAAGGCAGGGAGGACAGGAGGGGATGTGTCAGAGGCGTGCAGGGAGGGCAGAGGGGCCACCTGGAGTTGAGTTGAGAGAGGTGTGGCAGCACGGAGTCGATGAGGTGGATGGAGTTTGATATTCCTGGTGGCGGGGGGCGGGGCATGCAGGGCGCACAAGAGGCATCGTGGTGCATTGAAGGGAGATGAGAGCACATGCAGGCGTGGTGGGGTGCATGGGGTGCATGGGGTGCATGGGGTGCATGGGGGGGGTGCATGGGGTGCATGGGGGGGGGTGCATGGGGGGGTTGCATGGGGGGGGTGCATGGGGTGCATGGGGGGGGTGCATGGGGTGCATGGGGGGGGGTGCATGGGGGGGGTTGCATGGGGGGGGTGCATCGGGGGGGGGGCATGGGGGGGGTGCATCGGGGGGGGTGCATGGGGGGGGTGCAAGGGGGTGTATGGGGATGCATGGGGGGTGTGCATGGGGGGGGGGCATGGGGTGGGTGCATGGGGTGCATGGGGGGGGTGCATGGGGTACATGGGGTGCATGGGGTGCATGGGGTGCATGGGGTTCTTGGGGAGGATGGGGAGCATGGGGTGCATGGGGTGCATGGGGTGCACAGCAAACGAAAGACGATTTCGGCACTGAACGTAGCAGTTGTGTTGGACAATAGGAGAGGGCGCAGCACTGACCAACGAGGATGCAGCGCGAGAGGGCGTGTGAGAAGGGCAGCTGGAAGAGGTGCGTGAGCGCGCTGCAGTCCCTGCCCCTCACCAGCTGATCCACCTCGTCCGCCACCACCAGACTGCACCATGCCACGCACACACGCATGCAGGCACACCACACACACACATACCACACACAAGCAAGAAGAGAAGCGAGAGAGATGCTGCCTTCGAGGGGAAAATCTCACTGATAGGACAGCCAAACATGGCACGTGAAGAATGAGCGCGCTGACATGACATGTGGATGACATAGGAGGGTGAAGAGGGCATGCGGACAATCAGCGGACTGGCTCACATCATTGCCTTCCTCCCGCCCTTGCCACCACCACTGCTCGCATCTCCCGTGCAGCTGCCCCCATGACTACACTGCGTATCACCACCACCCTTGCCTCTCCCCCCTCCCTGCCCCTGCTCCCCCTCGTTCTCCCTCAGCCGCAGCACTCTCCTCGCTTCTCCACCGCCCTTCCCCCCCTCCTGCCGCCCCCTCTCCCCCGCTGGTCCCCTCCCTTCCCCGCTACATGATTCCCTGCGTCCGCTGGCGTCACTTCCACCACATCCGCATCTGACCCCGGGGACCTCATCCCCTCGGGACCATCCCGCCCACCCGCGCCCTCAGCAGCCCCAGAATCAACCCCCTCCTCCTGCTGCAGCAGCGCCTGCACCGCCTCTCTCGCCCCCTCCCCCTGCCCGCTCGTCCGCGCTCCCCCTTTGCCCCCTCTGCCCTGCCCGCCCTGCCGCCCGCGGTGGGTTGGGGGGGAGCTAGGGTGCGCAGCCTGTGCTGCCGCTATGGCCCGCTCCAGCTAAGGCGCGCGCGGGGTGGTGATGGTATGGGGAGAGGGCGGAGGGAAAGAAGGGCGGGACGGGGAAGGAGCACGGAGAAAGAGAGTGCATGAGGAGCGAACGACGTGATGACGTGGGGAGAGGGAGGAGGGGAGAGAGCGAGGAGGGGAGAGAGCGAGGGGAACAGGGGAAGCGGGGGAATCCTAGGCAGCGACTTGGTACGTCTGTGAATGCGCTGAGTGGAGCGGGAATGGGGGTGCCATGCTGAACTGAAGAGGTGCCATGGGGGTGCCATGCTGAACTGAAGAGGTGCCATGGGGGTGCCATGCTGAACTGAAGAGAGGAGGAAGGGAGAGGGTTGGAGCGGGGAGGCACCTGCGGGAAGAGGTCGGCGGGGTCGGTGAGGGCCATGCAATTGACGTACACCGGCGCACACAGGGGCTGGCGGAGACAGCGGTGGGTAGGGGGGCGATGGGGCGATGGGGCGATGGGGCGATGGGGTGAATGTAGGGATGACGGGAATTGATTGGGGAAAGTTTCAAATTCGAGGGGATTTGGACTGAATTGAGTTAAGTCTGTGGGTGCAGTGAGAGGTGAATGCATGGAGCACGGTGCATGGAGGGGTGTGGGTGATGGAGCGACAAGGCAGTGGGGGGGATGGCGAACCGCCGCTGAGGAAAGAACAGACGGGGCTTGGGGGGTGACGACCCTAGCTGCTATTGCGGCACGCGATGGGCTCACCTGGCCGGCGGCATTCGTCCACGTGGACACCTCTTTCGCCACTTGCGACAGCATCAGGGTCTTTCCTGTTCCTGGGCAGCCGCAAACGTATAGGCTGCCCGCGCGGCCTTTAGTCGCATGCTCACGACAGAATGCGACGATCTGATCGCGCTGCGCGTCGCGGCAGCGGATCTGAACCAATCCAGAGCTGTCGCCGGCTGAGTCGCTTGAGTCGCCGTTCTTGCTTTGGCGGCCGTCTGCGACGAATTCCTTGAACGTCACTTGCAGAGACTGTCGCACGCGATCCAGGCATTTTGCGATGGCGGGCGGAACGGGTCGTACGACGGGTGGAAGGAATTGCGACTTTGTCGCAGTGTCGCGCACAGTGTCGTCAGGCCCCATGCGGGCGTGAGGTGACGGCAATATCAAGGATGCACGGTGGAGGATAGGCGCAGCGAGACGGTAGATAATGGGCCGAGGAGCAGTCAGCGGAATACGGCGACGGGAGAAACGACGACGAAGTTACGGTGGAGAGGACGGAGTGCAGCGAGAGATAAGAGGCGAATGACTTGGGTAAGCTCTCGAGGCTGGCAGAAACGGCAGCGAGAAAGCTTGAAGGCCACGCACAATGCTACAGCTCCTAACGGAGTCTCCCGCACTGAAGTTTCACTACGGTATTGTCTGCTGAACATATAGGGTCCAGCACGTGCCCACTCCCAGCGGCGATTGACGTGTCAGACTGAACTGACTGCCTCGCGTGTTGTGATTCTCCAGCTTTGGTATTTTCCCGCCTTGGTGTTGGCCCGCATTTCCTTTTCCCCTGGCAGGGATGGCAGGGAAATCTCGAGAGAGCGCTCTGGTGCCACTTTCGTGAGGTTTTCCGCTAGAAGAACGAACAGTTCGCAGAAATAAGAAATTGGTGCATACTCGTTTTAGAGACCTAGATTTCTTCATTCAGATTCAGCTACTTTGGAGAAATGAACGAATAATTTACAAGTGTAGACCGAGAATGTTACAAATTGAGCTCCCGAACCATGCGAAGTTAACTAGCCAATGGCAGCGAGGGAGCGCCACGCACACTCCCGAAGCAGCGAAACGGAAGATCAACCGTCTCAACCGCGCAACCTCCGCTGACTGGCCCGAGTTCCCATGTGCGGTTCGGAGGTTGCGATTCGAGAAATCGACATTTTGACTCGCCCACGGATGAATCGGGCATCGATCGGCAATATAAGGGCGAGTGCCTCACTTGGTCCAAAGCACTCACCACTAGAATTTCTGGCTCCAGGGAGCCACCTCGAGCCTTTGCTGAAACTGAAGTTTTTTCCTCGGAATCTCGCTACTCTCAAGTAATTGCAGTTCTGAGTACTCTCTGCGCCAGCTGTATCTGGTATCATGGGGCGCCTCTTCCTGAGCATGGCGCTGCTGTGCGCAGTGCTGGTGGCGGCGAGCCAGTGGCGCGGCGCGCAGGCACAGACCAACGAGATGACCAAGGAGTTTGTGTGCAGGCCGGATGCGACGTGGAACAGATGGTACAACTACTCGTGCGCGTGCCACGGCCTCAAGGTGTTCGAGACCGAGTACTACTTCATCGACAAGCCCCTGATGGAGCTGGGCGTCACGTGCCCGGGCCCCAACTTCATGGCGTTCGGCCGCATGGCGTTTGGCAACCCGTGGCTGGAGTCGGTGGGGTACCGCTACTGGATTAGCGAGCTGAAGAAGTGCGCCAACAAGCCGTACCGCGGCAAGGGAGTGCAGATCTGCAAGATCCCCAACATCTGGAACCGCAGAGACCTGTACGTCGGCGGGGGTTACGTGCCCCGAACCGGCAAGATCAATGGCCGCCCCTGGACCTGGAACCCCGAGCCCCCCTACTCCAACCACCCCAGGTCCTGGACCTTTGACAGCAGGGCAGGGATTGTGATTGGGAGTTAAGTCAGCAGCAAACCCCGGGACTGGAACCCCGAGGCCCCCTACGTATTGGAAGGGCCTTGGGCATGGACACACGCGTGCAGAGATTCCACGGGGGGGTGTGGTCAAGGCGCCTGAATCCAGTTCATGGCAGTCACAGAGGCTAGAATTGCGTGGTTCGGCTGCCAAGGGCTCGTTCTTGAATGGGTAGAGGCGGGGAGACATGGGTGTGGCATGCGTGTAGGAATAACTTATGTATGGATGCATCTACCGTATATGGGTAACAGAGGAGCTTTGGAAAATATGTACCCGCTCAGGCACTCAAACAGATGGACTGACCAATGAAGTTTCAAAGGTGGTCCACACTCCACACACAACCGAGAGATGAAGCCCGACGAATCATGAATATACAGTGCAAAATATTGAGACAGGAAACAGATTCCATGAATTACCGGCATGAATCATGTACTGCTATTCGTAACTTGTGCAGTGCAACCTCTTCTAAACACTGCTTCAGTCCCTTCCACTGTGAAAAGGAAACGGCACAGTAAACAAGCATCTTGATTCCACCAACGGCAATCAGACTGCCAGTGCCAAATGTTCCACCCAAAGAGGATGGCTTCAGCCATGGCTTTGACAGGGTGGTCTGAGAACTCCCATTCCATGCAGTGTTTGTTGACTAATAACTAACCATACCTCAAACCTTTGGTCTGGCTAGGTATTTCCAAGTCCAGTTTGGTGCTATGGACCTAGGGTCACTGCTTAGCAGCAGCTCATCTCAGGCAAGCTAAGCATGCGAGGGAGTGGCAGGCAGCGGCAGTGCCAGGGACAAAACGCTCCCCACTGCAGTCCCTGCCTCCTGCTGCACTTGCTGCTGCTGCTGCCGGCCCTTGCTGACTCTGGCAGCCACATGAGAGCTGCTCCTCACAAGAGGCGCATGGCGAGCAGATGCGGACAGTGCCGAGGCGCGCAGGGAGGGCAGCAGAGGCACGCCAGCAGGCATGCGCACAGCCAGTGCAGCTGGGGGAGGGAGAGAGGGGGAGGCTGCAGGGGTGGAGGAGAGGGAGAGGGACGCGGTGGTGGCAGAGGGAGCAGGTGGAGCAGCAGGGGAGACGGAGGGGAGGAGGCGGCGCAGGGAGGAGATGGAGCGCGCTGCGTGGTGGAGGGCATGCTGTAGGGCCACCTGGGGCAGGGGGGAGGGCAGGGGAGACAGGTGAGGAGAGAGTGAGCGCGGACGAGTTGGGCACGCGAGGCAGGCAGGGAGATGGAAGGCTTATGGCAGTAGGGGAAAACAACCCTTGACTAAAGGCGTGTACAAAAGCACGTGAGTGGAGTTGTGTGAGGTGTGTGGCACCCATGGATGCGAGAGGGGCGTTTACCTGAGAGGAGAGCGAGATGGAAGCGAACACAGTGGTGCTGCTCCCAGCAGCCGGCCCCCTTAGCCACCCCTCCCCTGCCATGCCCTCCTCCCTGCCCTCACTCCCCGCCATCGCCACCGTCCCAAAGCTCCTTGGCTTCCTCTCCTCCTCATCATCGTCATCATCATCGTCATCACTTTCACTCTCTGACTCCTCCTCCTCCCCTGCCCCCCCACCAGCAGCCTTGACAGACCCAGCAGCAGCAGCAGCAGCCTTGGTTCCCCCAGCCGCAACACCCTCCTCACCGGCCTTCCCCTCCCCCTCTCCCTCCTCCGCGTCCTCCTCCTCGCCCCCCTCGGGCAGGATGCCCTCAGCGGCGTCCAGCCGGGCCTCGAACTCAGCCTCCATGAGGTCGCCCTCGCGTTCCCACTCGTCCTCCTCCAGCTGCCGCAGCTCCTCCTCCTCCGCGTCCTGCTGCGCCCACTCCTCCTCACGCTTCTCCCGCCGCGACGCCGCCTGGTTGCGCACACTGCGCTCCCACCGCGCCACCTTCCTCCGCCGTGCTTCCGCTGCCTTGGCGCGCCTGCGCTCCGCGTCGCGCTGCAGCTGCTCGGGCGTCTTGAGCCTGCGGGCCTCCTCGCTCTCCTCCTCGTCCTCGTCCTCGTCTTCCTCCTCCTCCATCTCCTCGCCCTTGATGAACTCGTCGAACCCCAGAGGCAGCGGCCGCGCCTTGGACGGGTCAACCTTGCCGTCCCTGGGGGAGGGGGAAGGGGGGTTGGGGGGTGGGGTAGAGGGGAGTGGAAGGGAGGAGGAAAAGTGAGACGGAGTGTATGGGTGCTAGCATAGATGGGTTAGGAAAGCCATAGGGCACGCACCGAGGCAGTGGACTAGCGACAGCGGCTGTGCGCATGGTGAAGGCATGCCATGCCATGCCATGCATAAAGTGGTCCCATGCCATGCCATGACTAAAGTGGTGCCATGCCATGCCTAAAGTGGTGCCATGCCATGCCTAAAGTGGTGCCATGCCATGCCATGTGTAAAGTGGTGCCATGCCATGCCATGCGTAAAGTGGTGCCATGCCATGCCTAAAGCGGTGCCACGCCATGCCGTGCCATCCGGTGCTCACTTGGGGAAGGGCTGCACGAAGAGGCGGAGCTTGCCCTCGTCGTCGGTGGTCCAGTTGATGATCTGCCGGGTGGGCACGTGCACCAGCACCTCGCCCTGCATGTCCGCCCGCCGCATCTCCTCCTCTTCCGCGCTCTCCCCCGCCCTCTCAGGCAGGCGAGGCGTGTTGCGCAGCACCACAAACTCCTCGTCTGAGGGTGGGGGGGGGGGAAGGGATGCAGCGGGGGATGGAACCTGGAGCAGGTGAGAGTGGTCGGGAGTGGTGAGAATGGTGGATGATGGGGAATCCTGAGAGACCTCACACACCCACTACCACTGCTTTCCTGCAAGCCGATCCGCCCACTGACTGTGCTGTGCTGTGCTGCCACACACTCGCAGCCTGGTGCGACTCATTCTTACCCCATTCCCCACACTCACTCTGGTTCCAGTGCCAGCGCGCTCACCCTGGTCCCAGAGGTAGGAGAGCTCGGAGGGCGAGGGCAGGCGCAGCGGCGCCTTCTTAAACGAGTTGAGCCACAGCTGACGCTCGCCGTCCACCTCCTCCGCATACCGCTTCCATACAGGGGGCACCTGGGGGCGGGGGTTGGGATGGTGGTGGGGCAATACAGCACAGTTGTTGATGGGCGTCAGGAGAAGCGGTGTGGGTTGAGAGTGACGCCTCGGAACCTTGCAGGGCTTCAGCGGATGCAGAAGAACAAAGCCTGGGGCAGAGGGCAGAGCGCTGAGGGCACACGCCGCATGTCGCCTACCATCCGTGTTGAAGTCCCCCCCAAGGCACACCTCGTGGAACTCGTGGATGAAGCCGGGCGCCTGCCACATGTCGTCGTCGTCGTACAGGTATGGGTGCGACGGCTCGTTGTACGGCCCCTTCACCTCGCGCACCACTGGCGACACAGAGGGGGGGAGGGAGAGAGGGAGGGGAGATGCGACACATGGGGGATGCGTTGAGAGAGTGCGGCGCAGGTTGGAAAAAGGAGCTGGAGTATGGGTGCTGCAGGAGATGGAGGGAGCGAATGGTGACAGACGAGGGGGGGTTGCAGTTGGATTGTGGGATGGCAGGGGGCAGGGACAGCAAAGGAAGGAGAGCCGTCGTAGAGGGTCAGGGAACTAGAGCAGTGCAAGGGCAAGAGTAAGCAGACAAAGCGGGGCAGACGAGAGGAGCAGCGAGCAAGGTGCAGCGAGCAGGGTGCAGCGGGGGTGCAGCGAGCAGGGTGCAGCGAGCAGGGTGCAGCGAGCAGGGAGCGGATGGGACTGGGGCTCACTCCCATCGGGCTTGTTAACGAACATGCGCGCCTTGGCTGCTGCCACGCGCGCCATGCCTGCATGGAACTGCCGTGCAAGGGGGGGAGGAGGGACGGAAGGACCAGGGGAACAGGTGGTGGCGAGAGAGGATAGGCGTAGATGAGAGAGTGCATGTGCAGGGAGGTGCAAACACGAGGAGTGCATAGGCAGGAGTCTATTTTTGAGGCGCCTCAAAAACAAACACGAGGAGGGCATAGGCAGGAGTCTATTTTTGAGGCGCCTCAAAAACAAACACGAGGAGTGCATAGGCAGGAGTCTATTTTTGAGGCGCCTCAAAAACAAACACGAGGAGGGCATAGGCAGGAGTCTATTTTTGAGGCGCCTAAAAAACAAACACGAGGAGGGCATAGGCAGGAGTCTATTTTTGAGGCGCCTCAAAAACAAACACGAGGAGGGCATAGGCAGGAGTCTATTTTTGAGGCGCCTCAAAAACAAACACGAGGAGGGCATATGCAGGAGTCTATTTTTGAGGCGCCTCAAAAACAAACACGAGGAGGGCATACGCAGGACGCGTGAGCATGGCGGAGCAGACGAAACCAAGTGCCCACCAACCAGCAGCAACGGTTTTTGAGGCGCCTCAAAAATTGTGAGCATGGTGGAGCAGACGAAACCAAGTGCCCACCAACCAGCAGCAACGGTGACAGCGCCGTCCACAATGCAACTCTCATTTCCTAACCCAAACTCCGCCCCTCCCTCCATTCCTTGTACGCCCCCCTCGACTCCCGGTGATCCTTCCACCCTACGCCCTCTTGGTTGTTTGCTTTCTCCCTGGGACTTACCCCCGAGGTGTGGGCGTCGCACTCGTCCTTGTTGCGCAGAAACTCCCCAAAGCGGAACTTGCCCTGCGGGTGGGAAGGCACAGACGGCAGGAGTGGCACAGACGGCAGGAATGGCACTGAAGAGGGAGATACGAGGCCTACCGAGGGAGATACGAGGCCTACCGAGGGAGATACGAGGCCTACCGAGGGAGGTACGAGGCCTACCGAGGGAGATACGAGGCCTACCGAGGGAGGTACGAGGCCTACCGAGGGAGATACGAGGCCTACCGAGGGAGATACGAGGCCTACCGAGGCAGATACGAGGCCTACCGAGGGAGATACGAGGCCTACCGAGGGAGATACGAGGCCTACCGAGGGAGATACGAGGCCTACCGAGGGAGATACGAGGCCTACCGAGGGAGATACGAGGCCTACCGAGGGAGGTACGAGGCAGACCGAGGGAGGTACGAGGCCTACCGAGGGAGATACAAGGCCTACCGAGGGAGGTACGAGGCATACCAAGGGAGGTACGAGGACAGCTGACAATGCAATGCACTACATTGCTGAACTGAAACCGTAGGTGTGCGTGTGATTCATGCTGTTATGCCGTTGACTCACCAAGTGCATGCAGCCGTTGACTCACCAGGTGCATGCAGCCGTTGACTCACCAAGTGCATGCGGCCGTTGACTCACCAAGTGCATGCGGCCGTTGACTCACGAAGTGCATGCGGCCGTTGACTCACGAAGTGCATGCGGCCGTTGACTCACGAAGTGCATGCGGCCGCTGACTCACGAAGTGCATGCAGCCGTTGACTCACGAAGTGCATGCGGCCGTTGACTCACGAAGTGCATGCAGCCGTTGACTCACGAAGTGCATGCGGCCGTTGAGCGTGAAGACACCGCAGCCATGGAACTTGTTCTGCTTCATCTGCCCCGCGTACTCGTAGTGCCCCTTCTCCCTGCGCGCACACGCATGTACACACACATGCACATGCACCATGGGGGGGAGGGCACAAGCACATTTGTCACTCCACATACTTGCGTGGCTGCATCTCATCATTCTCCCCTCCTGACGACTGGGCCTACGCCCAACACCCTTGCTGTTAGCCTGCCGGGTAGCATTCTGCCAGCTACTAGGGGACCCGGCGCACTCACGGCTTGCGGCCGTAGACCTTGAGCCAACCGGGGTGGTCCTCAAACGGCACGGCGTCAGTGGGGTCAGCCACGGCGAGAGTGCCGTCGCCAGCGGCAGCGGCGGCGGTGGCCTTCTTGGCGTCGGTCTCCTGCTGGCTGAGGTCCTCCAGCTCCATGCGCAGCCACTCCCGGTCCTCCGCGCTCATCTCCGCGTCCTCAAACACCTTCCCCTCCGCCTTCAGCTTCCGCCACGCCCTGACGCGCGCAGCGCGCGTGCGGGGAGCGGGGGAGGGGGGGAATGTGGGGAAGGGATCGGTTATGGGTGAGAGGTGAGGACAGTGAAGGGTCGTGTGGGGAGGTTTGGGGTTTAGGCGGGAAGGACAGGGTAGTGAAGGGGAGGGAGGTAGCACGGCACGGAGGCATATTCGAGTAGAGCTTACTCGGAGTCTGGCGGCGGGAGGCGCGCAGGGACGTCGACGGAGAGCACGCCGTGGCCCTGCATCATGTTCTGCACCCATTCGCCCTCGTACCTGCTCCCCCCGGTGCACGCACGCACAGACAGACAGAGTCACACACACAGAGAGACAGGTGGGCATGAGGGAGGAAGGGAAGAGAGAAGGAGGACGATGGGAAGAGAGAGTGTGGGAGAAAGGGGTGAGCAAATGTCAGCGATGTTTACATTTGGTGTGGGTTGTTTCTATCGAAGACGGGGTGCACAGCACTCACTTGCAGAGCTGGAGTGGTAACCAGCACTCACTTACAGAGCTCGAGTGGTAACCAGCACTCACTTGCAGAGCTCGAGTGGTAACCAGCACTCACTTGCAGAGCTCGAGGGGCGTGGTGTAGACTCCCTTGCCCTGCGCCATGTCGTTCCACACCGTGCCCTCGTACCTGCCGCCAGGGCACGAATAGAGCGACGAACAAGGCGGGCCAAGGGTGGAAAAGACAAGACGGCAACGGGAGGGTGTGCTTAATATCAACAGTCGCATCTCTAGCGAAGCCCATGCTCATTCGGGGCTGCACCAGCCAAACGAGATAGGGCCAGCGCATGCAGCGGACTTGTTTCTGCATACAGTGCGAGCAGGGGAAGGTGCGTGCGGGGCGGCACTCACGTGGCGCCGTCGCGGAAGACATAGGAGGCCCACTGCAGGAACTCCTCCTCCATCTCCAGCTCCTCCAGCGCCCTCAGCGCGCCCGAGCTCCCATCGTCCATCTCGTTCACCGGCGGCAGCCCCTGCCGGTACGGCACATACCGGTCCTCCGAGTGCGGCAGCTTTGCCCGCTGCTGCTTGCGGGGGGCCTTGCGCCTGGTGGGGGAAAGGGCGGGGGAGGGGGAGAGGCGGGGAGGGAGGGCTGGTTGGGTAAAGGGCATACGGCATGCGAGCACACGAAGACAACGGGCAACCGAAATGGAGAGTTATGAGCAACCGCATTGCGTGTGATTGGGACGTCAGAGCCACCTGTAAGCGCGAAGAGCATAAAAAACTTCCCTCATTCCCCTCACCTGCGCCGGCCGTCGTCGGCGTCCGCATCGTCATCGGCGGCGTCGAGCGCGGAGAGCCCGAGAAGCGGGTCGTAGAACGGCACCTTGGCGTCGGGGGGGGCTTCCGCCCACTCCTCGCCGAGGTCCGCCTCCGTCCACTTGTCCGGGTCCTGCGGGAAATTCCACTCGTCCTCCTCCGCCACCTCCGCCGCCGCCCGCTCCAGCTCCTCGAGGGACTGCTTCGGCCTGGGCTTGATGCCGTAGAAGTCCTCAAGAATCTAGGACGGGGCGAGTGGACGGTGGAAGGGACGCGCGGAGGGAGAGGGGGGAGCGAGGGAAGCCGTGACTTGCAGGAACGCAGAATCCACGCGCATTGACAGACTATCAGCAGGCAAGCTAATGAGATGTGGTTTATGAAGCGGGATGACGACGAGAAGTAAACACTTGCTGAGCTTACTGCATCAGGCACAAGGTAAAGGCCTTATATCCCACCGCATTTAACAGACTTACGACACTGGACGCTCGGCTATACCATTCTGTCATGCTCTGTTTGAGAGCAGGAAATATGGAATCCTCACCAGTGTAGCTTCTGAGTCTACTCACTACGCGTGCCTCTGAATGCTAGCTACATTCCTGATCGGATCTGGCATGGCCGCTGAAGCTCGCTCGAACGACCGCACATCCAACCTCTACCCGACGCATTCGGCTAAAGCGATAATACGAATAAGCCTCACGCACCAACCTGATCAAACCCCTGAATCGCGACGAACTGATACATTCTGACTCGAAACCAGGAGCTGCTATATCCTCATCCCTACAAGAACTGTGCTGCCTGTTCTAACCTGTTCCTGCTCGCGATTCGCTTCCATGGCGGACTGAAGAGCCTGCAGCTCCTTCTTCCTGGCCTCCTCGGCGCGCTTCCCCACATTGACCGGGTCATAGTAGTCAACGATCTGCTGCCACTCGCTCTCCATCTCCTCCCCCGGACTCATCTTCTTCGCCGGCTCCTGCGCTGGAGACTTCTTAGAGACCAGCTGCGAAGGCTTCGCCTTCTGTGGAACGTCGTCCTTAGCCATGGCGGCGAGTCTAGGCTCTAGACCAGACCAGCCTGGTCTTAGATGCAGGTGAGAGGACTACCAAGATACCAGCTGATCAGTTTTCCTTCCTGCCTTGTCAGGCAGCCCTTGGGAGTTCCACACACTTCATAGACGAACCCAAACCGCACATCTGAGCCGTTGAAATTCTGCGAGCCCAAATCGCGACCCTGGGACTGCACTTCGTTCCTCAACAAAAATTGTATGCGACACATTGGAAGTATGGGCAGATTGGTTGATAGGGTTACCCAGTGTATGGCTTCGGTCGGCCTGAAGGGAGGGGCAATTCGGTTCCACGCGTCAGGACATCAGTGGGGTTGGAGACGACACACAAAATTTGCCAGACCTCATCCAAAGCACATGTGGCACCACATCAGCAGAGGCGATTTCTGTTATTATCGAGGATGTGCAAATCGATCAGCTGTTGGCCTATAACGATCTGCGATGATGTACACTCAAGTAAAACTGGAAATTCACCAGGAGCTAGAATGTTCTCACTACGTGATTGCCAGCGGGGATGTGGTGAAGAGCATGCGAGTGGGCCGCACTCGTCGCCGCAGTTCTCGAGGGGCAGGCAAGCACCAATGCGCGCCTCTCCAGCACCTCGGGAATTCCTGAGTCCTGACAAGTGTGCCCGAGCACGGGCTAGATTTCCCTAGATTCACATCCTTTTGAGGCAAGGCGATTTCAGCCACCATCCGTCGCTTGCAATTTCGGTCAGTTGGCCTACTTATTATCGCCCAACCACCCTGCTTTGCTGACCATCCATGGCTGAGTTGGCCGAGCTGACATGCTCTAGTTTCTCGACGTGCGCCAGACCAGCGCGTATACATACATGGCAGCAGCACTCCTTGCGGTACGCAACACACTTGACCACCACCGTATGTCTCGTCTATCGTCCCTCCTGTGTCCTCCTCACATCACTCGCTCCTTCCACTGCCAACTGGTCCTCCCTACCAACCGAGAAGTTCCGTCTCGCCTCTCGCCCCTCACAGCATCCACGTGCGTGTAGGTTCATCCTTGCGTGAGTTTTTGGATTGCTCGAAGCAGTCAGTTCAGTACGCCTTCCGCGAAAGGCATCTCAGAGCTGAGACGTCGCGTGCGACAGCTCGTCACCATCGCATGCGATCACCTCTTACTTAGCCCGTCCTTGTCGGTCCGCGCCATTCGCTCTTCCGCCGCACCTCCTCCAGCCAGCCATCGCAGCGCCGGCGAGCCACCTTAATCAGCAGAGCTGTTGACCTTTGAGTCGACTCAAAGGTCACCTTCAGCGTTACCAGTGTTTCGGCAATCCACTTTCGCGCGCAAGTCACGCCCCCTTTCAGTGCTCGTCTAACCACGCGCTCTCGCTCTCAGTAGCTGCTCTGTAACTGCTGTTCGCCTAGTCCGTAACGTCAGTAGATCGCCGTGTCGTGACCAGTGCAGCACAGCATGGCGTCCTCCCAGCGTGGCCGTGCAATCCGCGCAACCTCCACGTTGTTCCGGCAATTTGGCCTTCTTCCCCGTCCCGCGCCGAACCCCGCACTTCATCCAGCCCCATCGCACTCCGCGTCCTCCCGCTCTGCGCCGCTAAACCTGCAATTACTCCGCGCAATGTCCGCGGCCCTCCCCCTCCACCAAACCCCGTCAGCCACCGCTAGCATCCACGCACTTGCCTCGGCAAAGGTTGGGTTCCGCGCGCTTGTGTCTCGCGGTCCTGAGTCCCTCACCCCTGGCGCGACAGCACGGGCAGCGTACGCCACTGTGGCTGTCTCCAGAGACCCGCAATTTGCCACGCTAGAAGATGCTGATGTGGAGTATTTTAAGGGGGTGTTAGGCGAGCGTGGCGTGATCACGGACCCTGATGCTGTGGGAGCAGCCAACGTGGACTGGATGGGCAAGTACAAGGGGAATAGCAAGCTGCTACTGCGACCAACCACAACACGCCACGTGGCGGATGTTTTGAAGTACTGCAATGAGAGGCGGCTGGCTGTGGTGCCTCAGGGCGGCAACACGGGGTTGGTGGGCGGCAGTGTGCCTGTGTTTGATGAGGTGGGTGCGCTTGGCATGGGGTGTGCAGCAGCTCAGCCATTGTTAAGGTCCACCATTGTCAATCAATGTCAATCAACGTCAATCAATGTCAGGCAATGTCAATCAATGTCAGTCAACGTCAATCAATGTCAGGCAATGTCAATCAATGTCAGTCAACGTCAATCAATGTCAGGCAATGCCAATCAATGTCACTCAATGCCCAAACAATGTCAGTCAATGTCAATCAATGTCAGTCAATGTCAATCAATGTCAGTCAACGTCAATCAATGTCAGGCAATGCCAATCAATGTCAGTCAATGCCCAAACAATGTCAGTCAATGTCAATCAATGTCAGTCAATGTCAGTCAATGTCAATCAATGTCAGTCAACGTGAATCAATGTCAGGCAATGCCAATCAATGTCAGTCAATGTGAGTCAATGTCAGTTAATGTCAAACAATGTCAGTCAATGTCAATCAATGCCAGTCAACGTCAGTCAGGTTCAGTCAAAGCCAGTCAATGTCTGTCATTGTAAGTCAACGTCGGTCAATGTCAGTCAGTATCAGTGTCAATGCGGATTATTATCAATATCAATGGCAACTACAGTCAATGCAAGGGAGTGTCAACTTCGAGGGCAGTGGTGAAGATGTGAAGAGCTACGGAGGGAGAGGGATGGCATGTGGTCATGTTACGGAGGTGGAGTGCAGTGGCCTGTTCCTCCATCTCACTTGCTCTCCTTCCCTACCCTTCTGGGTGCATGTTTTTGGCATTCCTCTGATCACGGCATAACATGGAATGACAGATTATTTTGAGCCTCGCAGGAATGAACAAGATAATCTCATTTGATGAGGTATGCCTCTTGCTCTCCCTTGTACCCCTGCCCTCCCTCCCCTCCTAACAATCGCATGCATGTTGCGGCATTGCACATGGCTGCCATGCCACTATGCACTCCCTCGCTCATCAACTGGGCCTCTTTTTCCACTAAACCCACCCACGAGACCTGCACTTTATTGCCAAACTCTAACTCCATGCGTAAACACTGCACCGCACGCCAGTGCCTGTTTCCCCTCGCTCTCTCCCCACACCGCCCCATCCGGCCCACGTGTGCCCCCATCAGGTCAGCGGCATCCTTGACTGCGAGGCAGGCTGCATTCTCGAGTCCCTCGACACCTTTCTGGCTGACAGGGGGTGAGTGATACTCTCAAACTCACACACACACACACACACACACACACACACACACATACACACACACACATGCATGCACACACACACACACGCACACACACACACCCATGCACGCATGCACACACACACACACACACACACACACACACACACACACACACACACACACATACCACCACCTGCACCTCCCGTCTCCTCTCCTCTGGCCGCCAGAGGGTCACATCACCAATGCATCAGTAAGCACACGAACGCACCTCCCCTCTCACCTCCCCCACACCCCACACCCCACACCCCACACCCCACACCCCACACCCTACGCGCCCACTTCTTCAGGTTCGCGATGCCATTGGATCTGGGCGCCAAGGGCAGCTGCCAGATAGGCGGCAACGTGTCCACCAACGCGGGCGGCATCCGCCTGCTGCGCTACGGCTCCCTGCACGGCTCTGTGCTCGGTGAGGGCTCTTGCTCTGGCCTCCAGCCTCGGTAACACTTTTCTCTCTCAAGGCTCTGCAGATTACCATGTGATGTGAATCTGCAAGAATGGATGGCTGGAGTGCTGGTGGACGGTGCAGTCCCAGTTCCCACTCCGATCAACCATGCCTCCCCTCCCGTGCGTGCATGGTGGGCGTGGAAGGGCTGGGGGTGCTGCCTCTCAACCATGCCTGCCTGCATGCGTGCTCTCTCGTGCGCTTCTCCTTTGCACGGCTGATTTTGGTGCTGGCGGACGGCACTTTGGTGGATGTAATGCCGCAACCATCCCTGCATGCCCCCATGCGTCCCCTCCCATGCATCTCCCCCCGTGCGTGCGTTTCTTCTTGCAGGGCTGGAGGTGGTGCTGGTGGACGGCACGGTGGTGGACATGACGAGGGCGCTCAGGAAGGACAACACGGGCTACGACCTCAAGCAGCTCTTCATCGGTACGACCTCAAGCAGCTCTTCATCGGTACGACCTCAAGCAGCTCTTCATTGGTGAGACTTGGGGGTCGTAGCAGGGTAATTATCGAGGAAGGACAGCACGGGGTACGACCTCAAGCACCTCTTCATTGATGAGACTTGGGGACGGATCGATGGGTGTGTTGGCTTGATTGCGGGTTGTGATGAAGTGCGACAGTTGAGCCCACCTCTCCGCATCCGCCCCCCTTCCTCCCTCTCACCATTATCCCCGCCATCAGGGGCGGAGGGCACGCTAGGCGTGGTGACGAGGGTGGTGCTGCTGGCGCCCCCGCGGTCGCCCTCCGTGCACGTGGCGCTGCTGGGGTGCTCGTCCTTTGACGCCGTGCAGCGGGTATTCTGCGAGAGCAGGCGCCATCTAGGGGAGGTGCTGTCTGCCGCTGAGTTCTTCGACAGCAACTCTTTACGCATGGTAAGTCTAGCGGGAATTGCGGCTGCCAGCTTAGATGGAAGATGGCAGCTTGCATGTGGCATGATAGAAGCATCACAACACGTCTCACATAGTCTGTCTGACGTGCTCTCCTGCCACGTGTGTGGGCTGCCACCACGTGCCATGACATTGCTACCAGGTGCTGAAGCACAACGAGGGCACCAGGGACCCGCTGCCAGACGGGGCATACCCTTTTTACGTCCTCATTGAGACGTCGGGCAGCCAGGCAGAGCATGACAGGTGGGTGTGGCAGTAGCCGTGCTGCCCATAGCTCTATCTCACACACACGAGCCAGCCACGGAGCTCATGGAATGGAAATCCACAATCCATGCATGCATCAATCCTCCCCACCATGCCCACCATGTGGCACGCACACACCCCATCTCCTCCCCCTCCTTCCCTCCCTGTGTGCTATGGCACGGCAGGGCGAAGCTGGACGCGTTCCTGGAGAGTG